AAAGAGTATTTTTCACCTTTTAGTGAGTATTTGTTCTCTCTAGGTGTTAACTAAGGACCTTGAAAGGCATGCTGCTGAATTGCAAGCCCAAGAAAGATTATCTGATGATGGAGGAACAATGGTAAATGTGCCGCACATCTATGCACGGTAAGAAGCTTGCTAGTAGTATTTAGAACAAGGCATTAACAGCTGTTCAAGAATGAGAACCTCAGCAGGGTGCTTTTGTGCAGGCCTGTAATCCTAGCACTTGGGAAGCTGAGGCAAGAGGACTACCACCAGTAATCCTTGAGGATTAGGCCAGCCTGAATTACAGTGAGACCAGGTCTCAAAAAAAGAACAAGAAACTCGGAGTGGAGGTGGTGGTGTGCACTTGTAGCACTGGTGGTTGGGAGGCTGAGGCAGTAGGCTCACCAGAGTTTGAGGCCTGCCTGGGCTGGACCTTATTTTGTAGGAGCCAGTAAAAATGGTATGAATTTCTTGATAATTTCATTGATCATCATACCAAAGTAAACACTCTAAAAATTATTCAAAGAGGTGTTACTTTTTCTACCCAGGTAACTTGATTTCCCAACTGAAAATTTTTGTAAACATTGGTTTTCAACATGAACTTACCACGACTTTGCTATATAAATTTAAAAATCCATGCATGTAGTATAATAATTTTCTTAAATTATTAGATTTCTGTTAGATACCAGGGAATAAATGAAATTCTAAAATCTCATCTATACTATAATATTTCAAATTCATTGAGATAAATAGGAAAACAAAACCCATCGGGGTTTGTTTTTTCTTTAAAAAGAAATAGCTTAGTGGATTAAATCCCCTGCAAGCAGGCTCAGGGTCAGGGGTTGGATCCTCGGGCCTGCCATGCTGGCCCCGCCCCCGCCCTCTGGGGCGTACTGAGACAATGATTGAGACAGCATGATGGTGTGCCCCTGTAATCCCAGCTCTTGGGAGGCTGTAAACAGGTGGATCACTACAATTAGTAGTGAGACCCTGAACGCCCACCCTGTACACCCTTCCCTAAAATTAAAAAAAAAAAA